GATTCTTCTCACTCCACACCTCTGGCCTACACTCCAGCTTTTGTATGCACAAATAAATAAAATAAACCTTTAAAAGTATATGACTAGGGCCCTCCCTGGTGGCACAGCACTAAGAAGCTAAAGCCACTTCAGCATGAGTTTGATCCCCGCTCCGGAGGTGATCCACATGGCTCAGCAGACCTCTCCTGACAGCAGTGTACTTCATCGGTTGGCCATTCTGCTCCCTGCTGTCTCTGGTGAATTCTCTCACTACCCCTGCTCCTCTGGCCTGTACCCTAACTCTGTATGCCTAAATAAATAAATCTTTTAAAAATATACGAATATACATGAATAATGGAATCACTAACACTACGCCGATAGAGTCATAGTGCTGAGTTGAACTGGAGCGGAAGTGCAGGGTTCTTAACTTCTCTGTGATTGAGCTTCCTCAGTTGTAATTATGGAGATTGTAGTAGCTTTTACCACATAAACTTTGTGGAAAATGTATTTATACATTTCAAGTACTTCAAAGAGAGTTTGGAAATACTAAGGGCTGGAAATATTTTTTAAAGACAACAGTAAATATATATAAATCATTGTAATAAATGCTGCAGAAAAATTTCCTATTAAGAATTTTTATTCCCGGGCCCTCCTTGGTGGTGCAATGTGTTAAAGCGCAGCACTGCAAGCCATCCTCCGCTACTTCAGTGTGAGTTCGATCCCTAGCCCCAGACCCCAGCCCTGGAGGTGATCCACAGCTGGAGGCAGACCTCTCCTGTCTTGCCTGCTGTTTCCCTCAACAGTGTACTTCATCAATTTGCCTGTTCTGCTTCCCACTCTGTCTCTGGTGACTCTTCCCACCACCCCTGAACCTCTGCCCTGTACCCCAGTTCTGTATGTATAACTAAATAAATCTTAAAAAAAAAAAAAGAATTTTTATTCCCAGTGAGAACTAATCAATTCTCAACATCTCTTTTCAAGTAGCCTAAACAGATTTTTTTTTTTTTTTTTTTTTTTGCTGCACCACTTCACTGTACTAGAAATGCATAAACCTATCCAAGGTATGTAAGATCTGAGGAGGAGAAAACTGAGGCGCTCCAGCTCACAACTAGCACTAACCACTGTCAGGCACTGAGTGAGATTATCTGTGTGCTTACGATCCAGCAGTTACCCCAAAGCTGACTGCAGCAACAGAAAAATCCCCAAGGGGACCCGAATAGGAACTATCAAGTAGCCCACAGAATGGTGAGAAACAAGAAATAATACAGTCTGCTATATGTCACTAGGTGCTAGGAGGAGTTTGCTTCATGCAAAGCATAACTGAAAGGTTTAATTTTTAATTTTGCTGTCCAGAGGTAGACACACTAACATCCTGAATATCCCAAATATAGATATGAACAGACAAAGCTATTTCAACTTTTAAAAAAACTCTAAGTAGCACATTGTAAATATATTTATATATCTTCATATACTTAAAAATAGCTTTAAATAATTAGACCATATTATGCATTTCTGTATGAATAATTATTTATCTATATTACGATTTTTGGTGGTTGCATTATACATGATGATTTATTAACCAATCACTTACTGATTACATGCCAGTTGCTTCTATTTTTTTTCCATTTTAAGAAATGCCTTGAATATCCTTGAACTCACTGCTTTGCACACATCAAAGATTATTTCCTGCTTGTGAAATTACGATTCAAATGTGCGCTTATGACTAGCAGTTATCCCACAGCTGACTGCAGCTTGTTTTGAAAACTGAAAACAAGCTATGACTGTCATCTAACTGTTCTCCAAAAAAGTCCCACAAATTCTCATTCTTACCATGAATGATTCAATGTCTCTATGTCTACACTTTTACCAACACTGGATATTTTCTCTTTTTAAAAAACAGTGCCCTCCCTGGTGGCACAGCGGGTTAAAGTGCAGCACTAAGAATCGAAAGTCACTTCCGCATGACTTTGATCCCCGCCTGCCCCAGAGGTGATCCACATGGCGTGGCAGACCTCTCCTGACCTACCTGCTGTTCCCCCTCAGCAGTGTACTTCGTTGATCTGCCTGTTCTGCTCCCCACTCTGTCTCTGGTGAATCTTCTCACCGCCCCTGCACCTCTGCCCTGTACCCCAGTTCTGTATACACAAATAAATAAATAAATATTTTTTAAAAAAATTAAAAAAAGAATAGCGCAACAAAAAAATCTTTGTCCAAACAGCAGCTTACCAAGCATCTTACTCAGCATGGATGTCTTATATTTTAGCCTTTCAGACATAGTTAATCAGTCAGGTTATAAGCTTCAGGAAGTTCCGCTACTTAGCACTTAAATGTAACTAATAAGTATTTGTGAAATATATGAATAAAGGATATATAAGCTATGATAATATTAATAACAGTTACCTAAATCTAGTATCAGATAAGGCTATGTTAAATTAAGGCATGGAACTTTAACTTGTGAGAAACTTCCTTCTGGCCACTAATACAGAAGTTTCATAACTGTTAGTGACATCTGATTTAGTTTATTATGAAAACTATTCTTTCAGTAAAATGAGCTGGTGCAGCATCAAACTTGTTGAGTGGGAGTCAATGGCCAGGAAGCAAATCCCAGACAATATTCAAACGTCCCTTTCCTGAATGCTGCATGGTCAGCGGGGTCACACATGAAGAATACTCATTGATGTTCTCTGTTAAAATAGATTTAGAAGAATGAGCCTCAATGAACAAACGATTTAGGAATAGTTAAGTTGACTTATTTTGCTTATATTTGTCTTTTCTGTATACACATATCACTAAAATGTCTAAGGCTAAAAGCACTCTTTGAATAAGAATAAGACAACGATCCTATGTGACAGCACCCTGTGTCATAATTTAATTAGCAGCTGTTTTATTTTCTTGGTGGTACATATAATCAGAGATGTCTTAGATTTGATAGAAATGATAAATTGAATGGAAGCTAAGATTGCCAGTAGATCTGTGAATTTCTATAACTTTAGTGAAGGAACAGAGCTTTTGGAGCTTGGTGTCTTGTTATTGTTGCTTTGGTGGTTGAGTAGGGATGAGATAGGGAGAACGTGTAATTTCTTCACAATTATCAGTTATATTTGTAGAGCATAAATTGAAAACAGGCTGACTTCTTAGGTCACCACGAATCTCTGAAGTCACAGTTTTGCACCTGAATTAGGTGCACTCTGTCATTAGTCAAACATTTTTGAAATGTATATTTTTTCCAATATATTACTGTGAAGCATGTCCTATATTTGAAATGTGGCTACATTTTAAAGCCATACTTCTTTGAACCAAACTATGATAAATTTCTTTTCAAAATTTCCTTATACGTTTTTGATGCCATTTCTTCTAGTTTACAAAAATATCTCAGATAGAAGTAACATATATGTAATATATATTTTACATATATAATCAATATACCACATTTAGTCAGTGTAGACAGCCTAAAGGAGCATTGAAAACACTGTGCTTCCTCTCATTACCCAGAGAAGGCCTTATAATATTTTTGGCACTACATTTACCGCATGTAAGAGCAAAAACAGGCAGCCTAACTATCACTGTGGGTGCTTGCTATGTGCCTATAGAATGCATGAGTGCTGAAAGAGAACTTGGAGAACAGCCCATGTGTCTTGCTAACAGAACTCATTATACTGCTCCTCTTAAGTCTAAACTTCCCTTGTCTTCTCAAGTTTGCCTTATTCGCCTCACTTCTTAGGCACTTGGCCAGGACACATTGACTTTCTACGATTTGGCAACAGCATTTTGGGAGGGATGGTTACAGTCCTCACTTCATTCCGCTCATTCATGCATTTACTTCTTCATTCAATAAATATTTACTAAGCCTCTACCATGGGCCTGCACCACAGTTGGAACCAAAAGAAAGATGGCCCCTGTCCTGCAGCAGCTTGCATTAAAAAAAAAAAAAAATTTACATGGCGAATAAGCAATAACAGAATTATAAATATACATGGTGGTTTTGTTGTTGTCTGCAAATGGTGATAGTGTGAAAAAGAGAACAGGTGGTTGGGACAAGAAATAAGCCTGACCATGTCCGATTTAGAGGTCAGCGGAAGACTAACATGACAGGTCAGAAGGTCAAGGAACACCAGGCAGGGCTGGAGGCAGGCCAACTTAGGGCGTGGCCTAATAGGCGAGGAGGAAAGAACTGGGTAAAGACTAGGTGCATGAACTGGGTAAAGAACTGGGTAAAAACTAGGTGCATGAAGCAAGAGGTGAAGGGCCACTGGAACCACTGTAATAGATTTTGAATTTCATTGAAAGCAATCTTCTTTACCTTTTTTTTTTTTGTCATTTAAGTTTATTTTTAATAGGTAGCACACACGATTTAAAGTATGTGCGTTGGCAAGATTTCTGAATGAGTGCTCTCTCTCTCCCTGTTCCTTGTCTCTTCCCCTGAGCTGCCACTCTGAATCGCTCCAGAAACACTCTAGGCACAAACACGCAAATCTTTCTGTATCGTGAAATATTTTAAGCAGGGAAGAGGACCCACCCCATTGGTGCTTTAAGGCCACTGGAAAACTCAGAAGGGACTGGCTCCCGTGCTCAAAGCGAAGCTTTCCAGAACCCCGCTTAGCGTTACGGTTTCCGGGCTGCTTCGGGGGAACTCCCTCTAGACCCAGGCTTGCAACTGGGCAGGGCTCCCACGCTCCCGAAACCACTCCGCACCGCGACTCCCACGCTGCTGCCACCGTCGGTAGCCTGGATCATTGTCTGAGACTGGACTTGGGGCTCCAGCCGAGGTGCGCGAGTGGTTCCTGAACCTAGACCAACGCCGCCCAGGCGGGCAGGAGGGCGGCATGTCCCGGATGGCCGCCACCAGGCTGGCGGCGCTAAGACGGGGCAGGGCCGAGGCGGGGTCGGGCTGGGGGCGGAGCAGGACGGGGCGGAGCCTCCGACGCTGGCGGCTGCAGCCTGGCTGAGCTCCGACCGCCGCGCTCAGCTCCGAGATCGGGCCACCCACCGGGCAGTGGGCGCTCGTCTTCCCGAGCTCTGTACAGTCCCGGGGGTAGGTCTCCCTGGGAGAGTAGCTGCTCGAGCGCCCGGGAACCAACGACGGGGCAGGCGACTGCATGGTGGCGGAGAGTAGCGTCCGGCGGCGAGTTTCCCAAGAAAGCTGAACTCTTCCCAAGTTTCTTGTGCATCAGCTCGCACCCAGCGAAGCGGCGGTGGCTCTTTCCGTGCGGGTTGTCTATGCGCGCTGGACAGACACGGTGGGGGTTGGAGTGACTCTGCCGGGGTCAGCACCGATTCTCCCGGGCGCAACGCGGTGGGCGCAGCTTCTCGAGAGAAAGGCGGGTAAGTGCCCTGAAGTTGGACCCGCGGAGCAGCTGGGTGGCGGCCGGGCTAGCAGCGCGCGCGTCTTCCAGGCGCCCCTGCCTGTCCGCAGGCAAAGTTCCATGATTTCTTTCCTCTTTTGGCCAGACTAGCTGGGCGCTATTCCGCGCGGGGCTGACCCCCAAGACTCCGTAATGGACAGCGAAAGCGAAGTGGATTTTGCCAGCAACAGTTTAACCCCGTTGTGGCGGAGGCGGTCGACCCCCCAACCCCCGCTGCTGGGCCGGAGCAAGCCAAGGCCTCAGTCCTACCAGAGCCCCAGCGGGTTGCTGATCACGGATTTCCCTGTGGAGGACCGGAGCGCGCCCCAGAGGCCGCAGACTCCCGCCCAGCTGCCTGCCGCTTCCGACGGCAGCACAGTCCAGGGGAGTCCCCAGCTGCTGTGCCTCCATCGCAGGGAAGTAACCAATGGGAGGATGGTATCCCCAGATTACAGGGCTGTTTCTCCCGGGCTCCGACGACCCAAGTGTCCCCAGGTCTCCAAAGCGGTTCCAGGCGGCCCCTCGAACTCTCCAGCGAATGGCACCGTAAAGTCGCCTGCACATCAACCGATTTGCCTCCCGCGGACTCCACAGGCGTCAGCCCCTACCAGTCCAGAGGGGGACCCGACGCGTGTGACTGCCAACCCCCAGCCCTCGCCGACGCCAAACGGCCTTACCCCCAATACCTATGCTCCGGTCTCTGTTTTGCAATCCGGCCAGACAGCTAAGGATTCTGAGAAGGCTCTCTTGAGACTGTCTCCTGCACCGCAGAAAAGATCTTCAGAACAAAAACTCCCACTCCAAAGGTTACCCTCCCAGGAGAACCAGCTCCCAGACACTCCCTCCGTGGTCCTGAGCACAAATAGCCTTGCCGCCCTCAAAGTGGGCAAACAGCAAATCATTCCCAAGAGCCTGGCTTCGGAAATTAAATTAAGTAAAAACAGTCAGAATTCGGAGCCCCATAAGAGACTGCAAAAGGCACGCAGCATGGTGGAGGGCCTCGGGGTGCCCCTGGGCTCTCCAGAGGACGAAGGTGAAGTCGACAATGAGGTGGACAGTCCGGGCTCTCTACGGAGAGGCTTGCGCTCCACGTCCTATCGTAGGGCTGTGGTCAGTGGCTTTGATTTTGACAGCCCTACCACCTCCAAGAAGAAGAACAGAATGTCGCAGCCTATTCTGAAAGTAGTAATGGAAGACCGGGAGAAGTTTTCCAGCCTGGGTAGATTAAAGGTAAGAACATAGAAGTGAGGCATGTCACTCATTAAGCCAAGCATTCACTAAACCCCGAGTGGAGGTTTTCCAGGCAGGGAGGAGAACCCAGAGGAAACCAGAAATGATTGTTCTCTTTTAATTCTGTTTGTTCATCAAACGTGTGCACCTTTATTGCTAGGCTGTTCTGGGTTCCTACAACTTTGTTGGGCACAAGTGAAATTCTTTTTATTGTTTTGGTTTTGTAACCTCAGGCAAAATTTGAGGAACAAATGAAAAAAAAAAAAAAAAGAACAGCAAATTAAATGTCAGCTGAGTGAATCCCGAGGGCTTTTTTCCCCCAAGATTTATTTATTTATGCATACAGAACTGGGGTAACAGACCGGAGGTGCAGGGGTGGTGAGAGGCTTCACCATAGACAGAGGGGGGAACAGAACAGGCAGATCAAGGAGGCACACTGCTGAGGGGAGCAATGGGCAGGTCTGGAGAGGTGTGCCAGCCATGTGGTCACCCCCAGGGTGGGGATCGAACTCATGCTGAAGTGCTTTAAAACGCTGGGCACCAGGGAGGGCCCCAGAGGGTTTTTAATGTAGGCATCTAAGAGGTGGAGTGCAGGTTCAGTTATGGTTTGGAGATGATAGTCAGGGTTTGCTGATTTATCCTGGCAGACGCAGAAAAAAAACTGATTGCCTTGAGCTTACTGATTAGCTAATGATTAAAATTAATTATTTTCACTGTTTACGTTAATTATTGAATGTTTTTGAGTGGTGATCACATACCAAATGTGAATTTTAAAATCAACTGCTGGAGACACCAAAGACACAGGAATTGTCATCCTCTGTTGGTGTTTGTTTCAGCATGATCTTTATTTCCATTTTGTGCCCAGTTAGTCTTTGGTGCATTTAACAAATTGGTTGCTCAAAACTTCAGATTAGAGTCAGCTCTGGTATTGTCTCCTAATATAAGCCGTGCCACTGCATTATATTACCAAATATGATGTAAAGCAATAGGGACTAGGAGAGAGTGATATTTTAGAGTGGGAGTGTGCTGCTTTCTCCAGAAACAAGACCAGCAAAAGGATAGAAATTCATTCTGGGGGCACATCTTTTCTTGATTAATCAGGCAATTGGAACCAGTTGATAGAAATGTCACATATGTGTTACACAAATAAGCCTTTTTAATTTTAAGGCCTGTGGTCTAAGCTTTTCATGTGCTTTTCTCCCAACTCTGTAAGAATAGCTAAGTTCAACTCAACAGTAATAGTGACTCATGAGTAGTGAAATGAATGAACTTCTGGTCAATTGAGGGCTCTCAAGCTGTTTTGATGAGGTGTGGGGGGACATTTTACATTCTTTTCACTGTTTTAGTGAATTAAAGTAGTCACATAAGTGAACTCCAGGGGATCATCTGCTGTATGATTTTGGAATCTAGTGAATGTAGCAACAAAAGGACTTTTTCTTAAAATAAGTATATTTTCTATTTGGCTCATTCATACATAGTTTGCTTTTTCCTTTTCTTGTTTCTTAGAAAAAAATGCTGAAAGAACAAGGAACATTTGATGGGGAAGGTAAGCATTTGATTTTTCAGACTTTCATTGCTGTTTCAATGTGGAATGTCAGTTATAAGTTGAAATCTAACTGCAGTAACAAAATACATCAGATGAGAAAAAAGTCCAACTTCCAATTATAGAGTGCAAAGATCTGCACTGGACTAAATTTTCACCTAGCAGTGCCAACAGTGAATAAAATTAATGTTATTCTTTGTGAACTGATAACTTGTCAGCTGGCGTCCTGTGATTTTTCATTCTTTTCTACTCAGGTTCTGTCCCCATGTTCCTCAGAAAATGAAGCAAGAGTAATAGCAAACCTTAGTTTGTTAGTTAAAAATCTAAAAGTTCAGCATTTAGCTCTTAAGTCATATTTTCTTTGACATAATGTTCTTTTCCCCATCTTTCTGTATTTTGGTATTCTCACTTCCTGTTTCTTCATCAAGTTTCTTTTTGGGGGAACTAGATCTCTCCTGGCTGACAGAAATATGTTCCTAATAATTTGTAACCTATATTGCCTTTTTGTTGTTTTCAAAAACAAAAGCAGCTTCAAACAGGTGTTCAAACCCTAATCAGATTAGCAGATTTCTGAATATAAATGTGTCAAGTATCATGACTGAGCAGCCTCAGCTGCTGTCTTGTGGGGCTGGGGTATATTGGAGGTGACAGCAGTTACCTTCTTCTTTATTTTGAAATGCTCAGGTTTTTCAGCCTTTAAAGAGTAATGAAGAGGCCCTTCTTGGTAGCACAACAGATTAAAGTGCGGCACTGTGAAGCTGTCTGAAGCCACTGTATCATGAGTTGAGTCCCCAGCGAGGGGAGTGACCCACATGGCGTGGCAGACCGGCCCCCACCCCCTGCTGCTCCCCTCAGCAGTTTACTTCATTGTTCTGCCTGTTCTGCTCCCTACTTTGTCTCTGATGAATCCTCACACCCCCACAAACATCTGGACTGTACCTCAGTTCTTGTGTGCATAAATAAATCTTAAAAAAAAAAAAGAATGAGGATCGAGAAAGGTATGTCACTCTATAAGTATATCTAATATAAAATCCAGAGTTATCAAATATATAACCTTAGATGATTACCAAACATTTTCCTATATAATTCTTTTTCAATAAAAGGTTTATTTATGCATATAAGAACTGAGGTATAGGTCAGAGGTACAGGGGTGGGGCTGAGAGGATTTACCTGAGACAGAGTGGGGAGCAGAACAGGAGGATCTGCTGAGATACACTGCTGAGGGGAGCAGCAGGCGGGACAGGAAACATGCTGTGCCATGTGGGTTAGCTCCCTGGCCAGGAACTCAGGCTGGCAATAATAGCTTGATAGCACTGAGGCTTTAACCCCTGCACCACCAGGGAGGCTCTTTATATATAATTCTTATGAAATCAGTTTTCCAATTAAACGTGGCTACTTTATGAAAATTCATTCATTACATCAATCTTAGGAACCTGTTTACATGGAGAAAAATATACAGTAATTAAGCTGTTTAGGGTAAGTTCATCTCTTTTGTTTTATACCTGAGGAAAATGGGAACTCTGAGAAGTTTGGTGACTTGTCCATTGTCACAGCCAGTGCTGGGACAGAGATCTGGGTCTTGGTCTAGTTTGTATCCTCTTATGTCACTTTATGGCCCTGAAATGAAAAGAGCATCTAACTAATAGCTGCTTAGAGAGCAAGTTTTCATCCGCTGGAATTTGATAGTGATTCTGGGATCTTTCCTTCAGAAGTCTAAAACGCTGAATTTTTTTAAAGTCAGAGGACAGACCTTCATTACTAATTTTATGTTATTTCCTTTTACAAGGAGCTATTCCTGTATGCACGCTCTTTTCTCAAATGAAATCATCTCTTCACCAAGAAATATTTTTTCACATGTATGTACATGAGGAATGCAGGATTTTTACAATTAGTGACTAAACAAAGTGTAACTTAGGAAGCAGGCAGTGGCGTGGTGAGAACCTGTGTTGTTAGGGCAGGAGACCAGAGTTCCTGGCAACTCTCCTCTCTGTCCTCCTGTAACTATGCAGGCATCTTTCTTTTTTCTTTTCTCCTTTTCCTACTAAACCTGCCTTTTTAAAATGTAACAAAGGAAAGAAAATGGCCTGGGTCCCCATCCCACTGCACTCAGCACACCAGTTTCATCATGTCTACAATGAGTTTAATGATACGATTGCCCACGTGTTGTGCGTGAATGAGAGAGCCTCTCAACAGTGCGTGCATGGACTGTGTCCTTGAGTACTTACCAGGGCAGTGCAGAGGTGGGAGAAGCTGGGCCTTTAGCTTCCATAACTTGATCTACACAGGCAGAACAGTCAGAACAGGCAAGTGCTGCATCAACTCCAGTGCTGTTTTCCATAGAGTGCATACAGAACACATAGTAGTTGGTGAAGGAAAGCCAGATATGTGCTTGCTTTCGTAGGTGGGAAAGGCAAACTCATTGTGGCTCAAATCAAATTCATAATCTTTTCCCGCCAGAACTGAATCTTTTCTGGTGTTCTTTTACTTTCCAATTATGGCACCTGAAGACCTAGGAAACATTCTTCACATGTTCTCTCCTCCCCCACAGCCCCCGTATCTGGTCCTTTCTAAGCTGCACAAGTCTCGACTATGTTTTCATGACCACTCCAAAGACATGCTTATTCACTTCCTAAGTGTTCCATGTTTTACTCCCCTTTTAAATCAAGTCTTTCTTTCGAGTGGATTTCCATTGCATTGGGAATAAAAAACAATCGTTACAGTGTGAAATGAACTTCATCTTCTCAGAATAAAGTCCAGCACTTTGAAATTGGCCTGATTCGGGTTGTCCAGGTTCATCTCCCTAAATTCACCCTTCACCCACTTGACAACCCAACTTCAGCCTGGTTATCTTCCTTTGTTCTTTGAAGATACTATGTTTCCTCTTGATTTAGGTTTTTTTGCATATACTTTTTCTTTTAGCTTTGTGACTTCTCAACTTTCAGATCTTAGATTTTCTTCTAATTCCAAAAGGGAATCATATCCTATCAGTCTCTTGTCAGAGAACCTGTATATAGTATCTTTTTGTGTCTATCTAACTATCTGTCTTATCTATCTGTCTGTCTGTCTATCGATCTATCTTTTGTATAAAGTTATTGTGTCTTCAACCTTATATTCACTTGTCATCTCACTTGAAGTAAAAACCAAAGTCCTTTCAAAGGCATTGAGGCCAGACCCTATATGATCTGCCTTCCCTTCACCCCAATCCCAGTGTCCTGTACTTTCCCTCTCCCTTACCTTATTCCAACTTCTCAGGCTAGAGACTTATGAAGGAGGCTTCTGCCCCAGGGCCTTTGTACTTACTAATGGAATGTTCTTTCACCAGCTATACAGGTACTCTTTGCTTCCTCACCTCTCTGAGATCAGATCTTAAATGTCATTGGTGAGTTCTTCCTCAACATTCTATTTAAAGTCTGCACCTCCCAACCCCCTCTCCTTCCTCTGTTTTTTCCCTCTGACATTTATTAACATCCAACATACTGTAAAAATCACTTGTTTATTTATTGTCACTCTCCTGTATGTGACAGCTCTGTGATTTTTTTTTCTCATTTGCTCATTATTGTATGTCCAGTGCCTATCAGGTGCTAGTACCTAGTGGACATTTTCTAAATATCAGTTCCATGAATAAATAAATGAGTGACTTTAGCTGTTTTTCTCATATGATTAGCTCATGAAGACACAAGAAGTGTCTTTTACTTTCCAGTATGCCCTCAGCATGTTGCAGACCTATAGGAAATACTAAAAGGATAATTGAGTAATAATGAAACTTAAAGGAAAAGTAAGGTGTGAATTCAGCTTAACCTACAAATTAACAGTGATTTAACAGGTAAGACTCTTTCATAGGTGTTGGACAATGACATGGGAATTTTGCTTCTTTGGTATTTCACCTATGAACTCCTGCAGATGAATTTGGGACAGAGATGAATGAATGAGAAAGTCACTTTTTGGTAATTATTCTTCATGATGAAATCCATTTGTCTCTTTGTGTATTAAACTGGGGACCTACTTTCTATAAATATTAATGCTTGTTTAAAACAAGCAGCATAATGATTGGGGCAATTAGTAATGTGTAAGGTTTGTTTTTCTTGCAGAAAACGCTGTCTTGTATCAGAACTACAAAGAAAAGGCCCTTGACATTGACTCTGATGAAGAGTCAGAGCCCAAGGAGCAGAAGTCAGATGAAAAAATAGTGATTCACCATAAGCCACTGAGATCCACATGGAGTCAGCTCTCTGCAGTGAGTTTCCTATCCTCTTTTCTACTTATGGATATTATGTATGGATGTTGTTTTATTTTTTCTTCCTAGTGATCTTATAGCCCTGAACAAATCTCCTCTTTTTAGACTATGAAATGTTTCTTGAATTCTTGAACTTTGGAAGTTAAATAAGTTTTATTAAAAAAAATGTGCACACGACTGGTGAACTCTGGGAGCTTTTCCTACTCAGTACATTTTCTTTCTTTTGTTTTTGTTTTTAAATAAGTGTACATATAGTGGCAACTTTATGTATTCTGAACCTTATCATAGCTATGGCTGTATATACTTGTGTTTGTGTATCTGCACAAAGGGAGTTTATTACAGTTCCTGAAAATTTCATTTGCTGTAGACTTACTGAAATTTTCTTTTTTTTTCCAAAAATTTATTTTGATTTATTTATGCATAAAAGAACTGGGGTGTATAGGTGCCGGGGGTGAGAAGATTCACGAGAGTCAGAGTGGGAGCAGAACAGATGTCTCTACTGAAATACAGTGCTGAGGGGAGCAGCTGGCAAGACAGTCGAGGTCTGCTGCGCCATGGGATTGAACTTCCTGGCCCGGGATTGAACCCAGGCTGCAGTAGCTGGTGATAGCTTGATAGTGCTGAGATTTTAACCCCTGCACCACTAGGGAAGTCTTCATTGATATTTTCTTTAGCTTGATTAATGATGGCATTTGTTCCTCCTTCCTCTGTGCGTCTTTTGTGTGCGACTGTCTGACACTTTTATATTCATTAACTTCTCATCTCTGCATCAAACATGTATTGTTTTTAGCTCTAATTTATTTTTCTCTTGGTTTATGAAATATCATGATGTGATACGAGTTTACTTGATATGAATCTGGCCACAGCACCTGTGGGTATCCAATACATTACCCCATAAAAAGGAATTTCCAGGGCTGACGTAATCGATACAAGAGCAAAAGCAATTCCATCTTCATCCGAGGTGAGGTTGTTCAGTCAGGAATGTCATGTATTTAGGAAATCCACCAACATCAAAAAAGAATTGTGTATGTGGGAGGTCACAGCAAGGCTGTGGGAATGTGTGTTTATTGTGGGGGAACTTCTGGTTCCTCTCTTTTACCCTGCACAGGAATTCAGAATTCTAGAAACCATACCCTTTGTTTCTATCTCACTCCCAGCTCCTGATTTTGTTCTGAGAAGAATTTGCTAATGTCCAGTGCTTCTGAGATAGGGTATTCTGAAGACTATGCCACAGATAAAAGTGGTTTCAGTTACATGAAAAAGTGATGCTGGTAAAGTGTAGGGAAGCCAGAGGTGGGCAGAGGTGAACAGGTCTTATGTACACTCAGAAGCTGCCACTTCGTTCAAACCAGCCGGGGCAGCCCAAGCCTCTGACCTTTAGAAAAGAGGAATATTGACATCCACACTTGCGCGAGTGTTATCCAAATTCAAGTTTTTAAAAATTGTTGCGTGAGCCCAACAAGGTATCTATGGGCCAAACTTCCCCCTCTGTGGTAGTGGTTTGCAAGTTCTGTTATGTAGTTATGGTTGTTTTGTTTTGTTTTTTGTTTTTACTTTATTGAAATTGCTTTTTTAAAAATAATATAGCAGTTTATTTTTATATCATTTTGTGCCTTTTTCCATCTTAGTTGTCATCTGCCTGGGCTTCCCATCACCAAATCACCCATGTGCCATCACCGTGGTCCAGTGCGCTTCCCTCCCCCCCACCATAGTTAAAGTTTTTCCTGTGAGGGTCTCTCACAGAACTGGCACAGTGGTAACTCGACACCCTAATCTGATGCTCTCCTGCAAGGTATACACCAAAGCAGGAATTTGGAAAACTGGAGACAAGGCTAAGAGGCTGTCTGGGCTGTACATGGCTGCCATTCTGTTATTGGTGGGGATCATCTGATAGTGGATCCTCAAGAAGAATTCTGTGGACTTTTTTCTGTGGTTTCTCTCTGGACCAGATGCTTTAGCATGGCCTTCATCCTGCCAGTGTTGTCTGAATGTTGAATAGAAACGTGTTCTTCTGTGTCACTTAACATTCTGACCCGACTAGGCTGGAAGGCTGGAAGTTGGGTGGCCATATTCATGCCTTCTGGAGCGTGGCTCTCAGGTAGATTAGCCAGTGCACATGTAGAGAAGAGAATGCCGCTAATCTTTCCAAACGCGAGTTTTATCTGACAACAGAAAAATGTACCCACGTGCTTTTTGTTCACAAGGTTAATATAAAAAGACTATCTTGTGATAAAGTGGAAGCTATAAAGTGGGTTCTAACTTAGTATAGGCTATCGTGGGGTTGAGTGTTCCCAGGAAGTGTGTGTGTGTTTGTTGTGTTGCTTGGAGATTATATGTAATCAAAGCAGCATGATTGGACTTTGCTACTCTCTGTTAGGCTCCAGCCTACATTTTATTTTCCTGGTGACTTTTATGTTTCTTTTCACTTTCAAATGTTTTACTCCCATTTTTTGGTCACACAATACTTCGAACATTCAGAACATTTTCTTTTTTTTTTAAATTCCTCAAGTTTTATGATTTTTATTTTTTTATGATTTTGTTTATTTATTCATACAGAACTGGGGTACAGGACAGAGGTTCAGGGATGGTGAAAAGCTTCACCAAAGACAGAGTGGGGAGCAGAACAGGCAGATGTACGAAGTACACTGCTGAGGGTCACAGCGGCCGGGTCAGGAGAGGTCTGCCACGCCATGTGGTCACTTCCTGGGCCAGGGAACGAACTCACACTGAAGCGGTTGCGGCTAGCTTGCAGTGCTGCGTCCTAACCCGTTGTGCCACCAGAGATGGCCCTCAGAACGTTTTTTAAATAAGTAGGTGTAATAGATTTCTGGATACTGGCCTCCCAGATGGTACAGATGTTAACATTTTCACATATTTGCTTTAGGGTTTCTAGTTTTTTTGACAGGTCCAGTTACCTACCCGTTGTTTCAGTTTTGTTTTGTTTTTTGTTTTTTTTTTTCCTTCCTGTCTCTGCAGAGGTAACTTCCATCCTGAAATCTTCATTTGTCCTATTCACATGGGTTCATTGTTAACCAAAAAGATGCAAGAAACTTTCTGGCTGTTAGGAAAGTATATGTTTTAATAGCAAAAGCAGCCTTTCTGTTTGTTTTTGAAGTTTAGCAGTTAGTATGTTCCAGTTGCACTTAGGACCCAAAAGACAAGTGGCTTCCTAAATTATTGACAATGTCGGGATGTTTTCCATAAGCCCTGACACCTGTTTCTCTGTCTGGCCTCATGCATGGCTTTACCCCTCCTTTGAAGTGGCTGCAGAAAACCCTCAGGTAGGTCTCTGGAAACTTCTTTTATATGGCTTTGCATCATCTCCATGCTTAGCTTTTATTATACCCGGTAAATAGGATTGCCCCCTTCTGATCTTGCATATATCACTTTTACACAACCTGTTCAAGTGGACCCTTGATCCCAGAAAGAAAGTGGCAAAAGAAATGGCACCTAGTTTGACTTTGTGCTAGGAATGGTATGCGTGAGCACATGTATGTATGAGCTGTTGACTGTTTTAATTTTCATTAATTATTTTTTAAGATTTATGTATTTATGCATACAGAACTGGGGTATAGGCCAGAGGTGCAGGGATGGTGAGCGGATTCACCAGAGACAAAGTGGGGAGCAGAACAGGCAGATCTGAAATGCACTGCTGAGGGGAGCAGTGGGTGAGACAGGAGAGGTCTTGCTGTGCCTTGTGGGTCAACTTCCTGCCTGCGGATTGAACTCGTGCTTAGGTGGCTCTGGCTAGCTTAGCAGTGCTGCGCTTTAACCCACTGCACCACCAGGGAGGGCCCTATTTTAATTTTTAAAATCTCTTATCTTTATTGCAAACACCTGCTTGCCTTCTGGGATGATGATAATTTTCTTATCAATTGACTTGTTGGAAGTCTCTTTAGAAGTCCAGCAATTTGCAGTTATTGTGGTTCTGGAGGCTACATTTAAGCCTCCAGTCTGTTGTCATTTTTCTCTGTGTTTGTTTCTGCTCTGTTACCTCTGTTATGTTGGACAGTCACAGAGTACAGTGTTGGAGACAGATTTAATTCTAGGATGAATCGATTAATGGCTGGTTAGGTGAGTAGAGGCTAAGGACCAAAGTGAATTCCTGGTGAGTGTGTTGAGGGGTGGCTGTTCCAAAGGTTCTTCAGGCAGAGCCAGAATGTTCTCTAGTAACTAGAAGCATGACCTGGGCTCTTTAATTTCATCAGATGATAACAGTCAGCCTCTTCATTCATTTGATTATCAAAGTATCTGTGCTATTCTGAACTGGAAATAAAGGATTTCTTCATTCTAGAGAAGGTAACTGTGCTGCTTCGTAGGCTGTGGGGAGTGCTAATACAGTAGAAATAATTTAAATTATTATGGTTCCCAGGCTTTGCTTGATTGTAATGGAAGGAATTAGACGCTTTGAACTTGAAAAGTCATTTTTGGCCTCTAGAGAACTGTGAACATGGGTGAATCTGGCCCAGCAAATCATTCCAGCAGCGTGAGAACTTAGCCAATAGTTCTTGAGTCTGGGAAAAGCTTGTGGGTTCGAAGAAAAATATTGATTGTATTGTTACTCTGGCTTAGAACACTAAGTATTTGTTTCGACTAATGCCAGGTGTGTGGGCAGCTGAGCTCTGGACTCAAAGTGGTTCATCCTGTGGGTGAACCTGCCGTTCATTCTTTTAGGGGATCCTGGAAATATTTCCAATATTAAGAAAATAGTAAGCAGATCTTGATTGGAGTTTTTCTGATTTTTCATTGTCCTCCCTCCCCCTAGAGTCCATGTGCTGAAAAATGATGGTTGTGAAACCAGTGTTTGTTTTGCTAAGTTCAGTGACAGCCACACAGCCGCGTTTGCCAGCCGTGCCTGACCTGTGTGTTTGCCATGGGGTGTGTTTGTATAACTTTCATCCCCTTGAAATACCAGGTACCTTTGAAAAGGGTGTTCAGACTCCAGAGGCAAAAACAAGCACCAGGACATACTTTTCACTTGAATTCAATGCCTAATATAG